CAAAAAGTCTAAACATATATAAAATCAATAAGTAATTGTTACAGATTAGTTTGTTAAAGTGTCACCTCAACCACTGAAGTACAAATTAATAAATATATCACCGACTATGACATGTATAAAATGAATTATATTTGAAAGGAGTTCTCTCTCAGCTTAATACTAAAATTTTAGTCAATGTAAAAATGTCTGACTCCTTATAAAGATATGAAATACATAACTAGTATTTGAAAGAATGTATCCAGATCAGTTATGAGAAATAATCCCTAAAGTGCTAAAGAAACAGCAGTTAAAATGGCATTTGTTTGTGGTACCATTTCTATGACTTCCACAAACTCTCAAAGAACAGACCCTTTCCCTATATTCCCAGCATATAAAACATGACCGTTAGAAGCTGGTGAGATGGCTCAGAAGTTAGGAACACTTGCTACTTTTGCAGAGGGCCCAGGTTCAGTTCCCAGCACCCTCTTCAGACAGGTCACAACTGTCTATAACTATAGCCCCAAGAGTTCTAATGTCCTCTTCTGGGCTCCACAAACATCTGCATTCACATATATATGCTTGAACATGCATATACACAGATTGATATACATAATAAAAATAAATATTAAAATCATTAAAATAATTCATTTGCTAAAGAAAATGTGATTTTCATCTATAAATGAAAGGCAAGATTTATGGATATTGATGTTTAAATTTATTTTTCTGTGTATAGATGTCTTGCCTGAATGTATGTCTATATACCATATGTGTGCAGTGCCTGAGGAAACCACAAGTATTAGATCTCCGGAGCTGGAGTTACAGACAGTTGTGAGCCATCATGTGGGTTCTGGGAATCGAACTTAGATCCTCTGGAAGAGCAGCAAGTGCCCTTAAGTGCCGAGCTGTCTCTTCAGCCCTGGAATGCTGGCTACTTTTGAAAGTTCTACTCCATTTTCTAATTATAAAAGAATTCAGGGTAGCCAGGGCTATGTAGTGAAACATTATCTCAATTTGTCTCTTCTATTTTTGTTGTGTATGTGTGAAGGCGTAAGTCACAAACAATGCCACACCAGTTTGGAATTATGATTAATAGGGTGGTATTTATTTAAAGGGGAAAAAACTTACAGATCACCGTCAGCCCTCTGCGCAACCAGGAAGGGAGTCTAGTCGCCAGCAGAGCAGGAAGTGAAGAGAGAGAGGAGAGGGAAGTGGCCGGGTTTTTTTGTTTTTTTTTTTTTTTTGGTTTTTCGAGACAGGGTTTCTCTGTGGTTTTGGAGCCTGTCCTGGAACTAGCTCTTGTAGACCAGGCTGGTCTCGAACTCACAGAGATCCGCCTGCCTCTGCCTCCCGAGTGCTGGGATTAAAGGCGTGCGCCACCACTGCCCGGCTTTTTTTTTTTTTAAAGGGAGACCACGCCCCAATGGGCTGGTATCTCAGTGGCTATTGGCTGGAGGAGTGGGAGGACCTCCCGCAACATATGTGGGGTTAGGGCACACATGTGGAGGTTAGAGGAGTAACTTTTTGTAGTAGGAGGCCACTGGTTCATTTCCTGGCCGCCCTTACCTGAAATAATCATACGAAACCTATATTATTTACAATACTTTTTGGCCAATAGCTTAAGCATATTGCTAGCTAGCTCTTACATCTAGAAACAACACATTTCCATTATTTTATATTTTACCACGAGGCTCGTGATCTCCTGGCAAGGTTCCAGCTCACAGCTTGAGTCTTTCCCCTCTGGCGACTACATGGCGTCTCAACTTATGTAAATCAGTTCTCTTCTTCCATCATAAGGAGTCTGGTCGTCAAACTTAGGTCAGCAGCCTTGGTTGCAAGGGCCCTTACCTGCTGAGCCATCTTGCCAGACAAAAGCTTTATATCTTGAAACATGACTCTGGGTATTTAACCAAAATCTGCCTTCCTGGTCGTTCCTACAATTGCTAGCCCAATAGTTTTCCAAACAAGTGTGTGGCAATATTCTGAAGATCTTCCTTGGAGATAAGGGAAGAAAACGGGAAATTTTCTATATATGATCATTTTTTTTTAATTAAAAAAAATCAAGATGGCAGTTCTTTTTTTTTTTTTTTTTTTTTTTTTTGATTTTTCGAGACAGGGTTTCTCCGTAGCTTTTGGTTCCTGTCCTGGAACTAGCTCTTGTAGACCAGGCTGGCCTCGAACTCACAGAGATCCGCCTGCCTCTGCCTCCCGAGTGCTGGGATTAAAGGCGTGCGCCACCACCGCCCGGCTAAGATGGCAGTTCTTATGCACATCTGTAATCCTAGCACCTGGGAGGTGGGGGCAGGAGGACCTGTAGTTCAGGGCTGGCCTCAGCTACCTTGAGTTTGAGACCAGCTAAAGATCCTTTCTCAATTTTCCACCTCCTTAAAAAATTAATTTTGCTAATATTTGATAAAACTTGCTTGAAGAGCTCAAATCGAATGCTTGCCCTTCAGAAAAGATGATACACAACACACGGGCTGTGTGTGGCTCAGTGCTGGTTCCCTTGCACACATGAGACCCAGGGATCAACCTTCAACTCTAGGAAACATCCCCAAAGCTTGAACACAACCAGCTGTGCAGCAGAGGCCCTGCCTGATGAGAGCATTGCTGGTCACCATCCAACCCCAAATCAGCCCAGTGTACCGGACACCATGAGGGAAGAGTGGCGGTAACTGACGTTGAAAGCGGTTTGCTTATTGCGTTTATGTGGGTGTGGTTATTAAGTGGTTCTCGTGACTAAACCACAGACAAGATAGCACAAGTGAAGATGAGCACACCCTCTCCCCGCCCTCTGCTGAGACAAAGCCATCACCGTAACAAGGAGAAAGTAACTCCTTGGTTCAAAGGGCTCATTTTATGGGCAGATGTTTTGTTCTGCTGAGAAGTGATCTTCAAGAGAGCTTTGCTACATAAGTGCTAAAAAGTACACTATGCCTATAAAAGTGGTCATTTCTTTACACACTCAATAGTTAGAAATCTCTCAATCTAAAAATATTTAACAAGGATTGCCTGTGGGTCTTTTTTTAATGACTTTTTAAAAATGTTTAGCTTTATGTTTCTAAAGAGTGTGACATACATATTTATTGAATACCAGCTATCCTCCAGGGACTATATTGTGTTCTGAGGAAACACTTTGGAGTGATTAATAATTAGCTCTGCGACCTTCAGCGAGTTATTTATTTAACCAAGGGAAGTCAGAACAGGAACTCAAGGCAGAAACTTGTAGCTAAAACCGTGGATCTTCTCTTCTGCTTGTGCCCAGGCAGCTTTCTTTTATGACACGGGCACACTCGCCTAGGGGATGGATGCCCCTTAAGGATTTATTTTTATTTCATGTGCATTGATGTTTTGCCTACATGTGTGTCTGTGAAGATGTCAGATCCCTGGAGTTACAGACAGTTGTGAGCTGCCATATGGTTGCTGGAATTGAACCCGGGTCCTTTGGAAGAGCAGCCAGTGCTCTTAACCATTGAGGCATCACTTCAGCCCTGGAGCTGTTTTTCAACACTTATTTATGCATCTATGTATGCATGCTGTGTTCTGCCTGCGATCAGAGGACAACCTGCAGGAGTCGGTTCCCATGTGCATTCCAGGGATGGAAGTGAGGTCCTCGGTCTTGGTGGCATTCACGCTTACCGTACATCAAGTCATCTCACTGCCACCCTGTTAACTTCCAATAACAATTAATTGACAACGGAATTTGGAAACTTACGAGATGGATTTCAACATTTTATTTGTAATAGCATGGGTTTGAAAACAGGAAGATAATTTCCTAAGAGTCCACTTTCCTATCTGGACATCTTTTCCTTTAGACCGCTACATCCCCTTATCTTGATGAACGGCAATGCTTGATTCAACCACAAAGCAGGTAAGACATACAAACAAATACAGAGTGGTTGAGATGGCACAGCTGGAAAAGCTAAAAGCACTTGCCACACAAGCCTGGCGCTGGAGCCCGGAACCCACTGTGGAAGGAGAGAAGTAACATGTGAAAGCCACCTGTCTCCATCCGTGGGCCGTGGTGCTCACACACACGTGCACACACCAGTTTAAAAGACACAGCTGTAACGGTGGGAACAGGCGCTTCTTAAAGATGCGTCCTGGCTGGTGGTGGCTCAGCAGGGAAAGACTCTGGCAGGCAGGCCCTCCAGCATAGTTCTCTTCCGGGTGCCCACAGTGTGGAAGTGGAGAACCAACTTCCTAAAAGTCCCCTTCACCACACATCACCAGGGCACCCCCACCCCGTAGATACATAAGGTGCAATATAAACAAAAGCAGTTGAGGTGAAGTGGCAGTAATGGAAAATACATGCAAACTGTGCTGGGTGCTTTTCTAGATGCGACTGGACAATGGCTACCCAGTGAAGAATTCATCTCTGAGACATTCCAGAAAAGGCAAAGCTGCAGGGAGAGAGTCAAGTCTGTGTTTGCCTAGGAGCTGGATGTGGAAGGAATTTCCCACCAAAGGGCACACACAAACCTTCTGAACTAGAGAACCACTTTAATCTTGTGGGTTGCGGGGGTGGGACTGGACAGGGTTTCCCTGTGTAGCCCTAGCTGTCTTTAGAACTAGCTTTGTAGATCAGGCTGGCCTCAAACTCAGAGATCTGCCAGCCTCTTCCTCCCGTCTCTGTCTCCTGAGTGCTGGAATTAAAGGCACAGCACCATGCCTGATGACAACAGAATTCCAGCAGAGCTGTGCGTTAAGGAAAGGTAAGTGTTAGAGATGTAAATGACACTCCAGTTCATGCCACATATGGGTGTTCATTTAAAAATACACACACAGAGAGAGAGAGAGAGAGAGAGAGAGAGAGAGAGAATGAAATTCAGCGGATCAATAAAGGAAGATGTTAACTAATAAGACGGGGTGCAAAGACTCCAAGGTGAAGAGGACACCCAGCCTTGGCTGAGGAAGGGTTTTGCTGGGCTGCGGGGGGTGGGGGGGGTTGGGGGGGGTGTTGAAGGTTAGTCAGGGGGCGTGGCCTCGCGGGGGTTGAAGGTCAGTCAGGGGGCGTGGCCTCTGCGCGCTCCTGCTCCTTAGCCGAGTTAAGGGGTTATCTAACCAGGTCCAGGAGTGTGGAGATCGAGAATCAGTGAGTAGCTTCTGGTCAGTCCCCCTCTGACCTCTGACTTGCCACAGGCCCACAGCGCCTCCCGCCCTGCTCCCACTTCTGGGCAGCCCAATCGGCTGCCTGTGCCTGGCTGAGGGCCTAAGCCCCCTTCCTCTCTACCCTGTGTGTTGCTATCCCTCCATTTTGCCCTCAGCCCGGTCCCTCTCAGTGTGGTCACCCCGTTTAGCCTCTGTTCTCCCTTTTCAGTGTCCGCTCCCCGAGCCGCTGAGATTCACAAGGACGTTCAGGTGAGGGTCCTAGGGATTGGCTGCGTGGGATCGCTGTTTTGCTGGTTTCCGGGAGTCCTGCCAGCAAGTACTTCTGCTCGCAGCGCACACTGGGGTTGGGCAGACCAGGGCGCGGGGTTGGAGTTGGCCCTGAGCAAAGGCCAGTGGGCTGTAATTAAGAATGTGGCGGAGGCCTCGAGCTCTGTTCTTTTCCTCCTGGCTTCCGGTCCTTGGCTGTTGCATCAGAACTACTACGGGAATGTACTGAAGACATTTGCAGACCTCCAGACTAATGCTTGTGTCACACCAGCCACGCTGGTCCCCAAGTACATCCGGGAAACTCTGAAGAATGTACACGAAGACGTTACTTCGAGGTAGAGTGTATATACTGTTGCCACGAAGCCTCCAGAGTGCAGTTTTCCCATACTCGTCGCTAGGGAATTTAGCCATATCTGTTGGCCATCCTTCTTCCCATATCTACTGTGAAACCCCAAAGCTCAGCACTGAGCTGCTTGCTCCTCTGCTGAAGACCCCTCAGAGATGCTCTCCATCCTTTCCCATTGCAGGAGACATTCAAGCTCCTTGGACCGTGGCAGACAGTCAAGTGTTTAATAGACTAGCTCACACTTGCTAAATAGGTGATCTTTGCCTGGCATAATATTGCCCACCCGGAGATCAGGTATCAAAGAGGGTACCTTACCCCCTGCCTCTCCAAAACCTCACTGAAGTCTTCCTAGCATCATGGAGCCTTCTTCCCCCCAACCACTGCCACACTTATTCCCAGTGACACTCGCTGTCTGTCAGTCATAGGAAAGGTTCCATACCTGTAGTTTTTACCTCTCAAGTTACAGTGCCTGCACCTGGGGACAGGATACTTTCCTTGTTCAGTAGACAGTGCCTTAGATGTATGTATTCAACACATATTTCAGATGCTTTTCTTGAGGCTTGCTACCTTGCGCGGTGCCCAGCAACACTGCTATGGCAGCCATGCTCTGGTTTAGTGGGAGAGACAAAATAGTAATGTAAGTGGGTGATGGAGGGACAGGGGAGGGATTTACCACCTGAGACTTTTCCAGTATGTTTTTAAAACATGTCTTTTCCCCTTCTCAGGTATTATGGCTGTGGTCTGGTTGTCCCCGAACGCCTGGAAAACTGCCAGATTCTGGATCTGGGTTGTGGAAGTGGCAGAGACTGCTATATGCTTAGCCAGCTAGTTGGCGAGAAGGGACATGTCACTGGAATAGACATGACTAAGGCCCAGGTAAGACAAAGATTTGGAGGAAAGGGAAGAGGTTTTGCCAGATCATTCTTTGAGGCTAGAAACTGCTTCCCGCTGTCCTTCACAGTGTTTAGGAAGGCTGGGGTTTTGTTACTGTCATTTGTGCCTCTTGTGACCTAGAAGTTGAGGACGTTGACAATCAGTGACTCTCCTGGAGAAGTCAGTCAGAGGTTTAACCTGATAGATGAACAGTGTGATGGCCCAGCGGCATTTCCTCTTCTCTGGTCTTCTCTGTCATTGGATAACTCAAGCAAGAGTCACTTAGTTAGGGACTTCTGTCCCAGGCTGTGGCGTATCTTCCATGCCTCATGAATCTTGTCTATCCATCCAGAATAACTCAGGGGAGGGAAAGCATATGGCATTAGCAATAGGACAGCTTTCAGGGGGAAAAAAAAAGATTTATTTTTGAATGATGCTGATGACCAAATCTGTAGCTTTCTTTTTCTAGGTGGAAGTAGCTAAAACCTATCTTGAGTACCACATGAAGAAATTTGGTTTCCAGGCACCCAATGTGACTTTTATTCATGGCTGCATTGAGAAGCTGGCAGAGGCTGGGGCCCAGCAGGAGAGCTACGATATTGCTGTGTAGGTCTGCAGCCTTTCTGCTAAGAGCAAAGCCCATTTCCTTTTGAGCACGCAAATGCTACCACTCTTTGACGAACTGACTCTTGTTTAAGGAATTAAACTAGGGGCCTAGAGAGATGGCTCAGTGGTTAAAAGCACTAGCTGTTTCTACAGGACCTGGGTTCAATTTCAGCACCCACATGGCAGCTTACAACCGTCTCCAGTTTCAGAGGATATGACCCCCTCACACAGAAATACAGGCAGGCCAAAACACCAACGCACATGTAATAAAAATAAATATTTAAAAAAGTTTAAAAAATAAAAAGGAATCACACTGAACTTAGCAGTCCTTTATAAAGGAATGAGGTCTCTGTAGTCCATTAGCAACAAAACACAGCTGCCTGAGAGAGAATTTAAAGCTGCCATGTGTGTCTAGCCTCTGGCACAACCATGTGACCAAGGATAGCTATGGATACAGCCCAACACAAAGGCACAAACTTAAATATTATGAGTTTTTTTGTCACTCAGTTGTGCATGTGTTGGTGTAAGAGTAGACGACAGTGTCACCTTGCAATGCCAGTCTATCTGCCCACCAAACTAAAGTCAGTGACTTCCTGGGCCAGCTAGACCCCAGTCTGTGCTCCTGTAACGCATACCCACCTCTTATCTGGAGTGTAATGGTGGGTTGTGTTGCCAGAAATTTGTATTGGAGCATTTCCTAATTGTGTGAGCATCAGCGTGTACTCCCCCAGGCTTTGATGATAGAGCCTTCTGCACACTTAGGCTGGGTGATGTCCACAAAAGAGCCAGCCTATTGATACTAGGGCCTGATGAACAGAATATCGAATCAGTTCAGACCTAAGAGGTGATGCTCTCCAGGGCTGCAGTCATTCAAGATGTGCGAGCAGACGGTTTTACAGTGCTTTTTCTTGTAAGCGGAGTAAGTGCACCATAAACTAACGATAAAAAGTAAAGGCCAGTTGTCTTGTTCATGAAGTGTGGTGCACTGTGCGTCATCGTACATGCTATGTTTTTCTACAGCTGGCAGCCAGTGAAGATGTTGACTCCAACCTTGTTACAGACACTTGGCTAACCAACTATGGTGTAGCTCTGGTTGTCACTCTACTAGACAATAACAGGCCTTATTGTAATCTTATGAGACTACCATCATGTTTTGAGATAGGGTCTCATTATGTAGTTAGTGGCCGACCAGGAACTTGCCATGTAGACCAGGCTGACCTTGAGTGCACAGAGCTCTTGCTTCCTGTCTAAAGGCAGGCACTACCAGATTTAGCCATGACTATATTTTGTTTCATGGCAAATTATGGTGCTTTGTGTTTCTCATTTTCCCAAGTCATTGTTAAATCATGCCCAGGTGACAGGATCAGGCTGGTTTTTTTTTTCTTTTGATGCTGGGAATTGCACCCTAAAGAAGCATTTTACCATTGAGCTACACACCTAGCCTCAAATGAAAGTGCCAGGAAAGCTGCCTTTGAGGGACTTTGTCTGTTCTCATGTCTTGAACACCTCGCACGGCAGGCATCTGAGTCCAGGTTTGGTTTCGTTGCCTGGTGAGCATCAGGACAAAAATAAGAATCATGCTTCCCATTCCTTCGTGCACATTTGTTCTCCCTGACTGCTTCTGATATGTCTCAAACAACTTGCCTGTCTTCCTCGTCTTGGGAAAAAGTTGGGTATGAGGAAGGAAGGAGAGCCAGGAAGAATTGGTAGCTTTGATGGTAAGATGGAAGCCCCTTTGGGTCTGAAAGGATTTGAGTCCTTCAACATCTGTCCTTTTTCCTTATTATTTTTTTAGATCCAACTGTGTTATCAACCTTGTTCCCGACAAAGAGCAAGTGCTCCGGGAGGTGTATGACGCGCTGAAGGTGAGGGAGAAGGAGATGGCTGGTCTTTAGACACCAGAGAGGGCTGGCAGGATCATACACTCTTCCGCAACTAAGAATTCAAACTCGATTTAGTAAGAAGGAGCCAGGTTGGCCATGGTGGAGAATCAGGGGTTCACGTCCTTTGCAATGTAGGGAGTTCAAGGCCAACCTCAACTGTATGTGATGCTGATTCAACAAAAAAGTACACAAAAAGGGAGGTGTGAAGTGGTGTTGGCGAAGTACTCTAGCTAGGGCTTATTTTTTCCTCTCAGGAAATGGGTCATTGACTGTCAGAATATTGGCCTTCGATCCTATTGCCCCTGGTTACTATTGACTGTGACTCGCAGGTGACACCTGCAGAGTCACCGGAACCTGTTGAGTCACTCGGAAAAGTCCCCAGGAATTCGCCTTTCCTCAAACAGACCCTGCTTTTCCGTGATAACTATTTCTGATACCTTACCTTTGAAAACTCTAAGATGGATGTTTTCTATGGAGGCCTTTTTAGAAGGGAAACTTCCATTTGCTCCCCAGCCTCCCTGCCTATGAAGAGGTTTGTTTCATACTGCTAGAGAACACTGGGATTTGGAGGGCCAAAGGTGAAGTTCAGGGGCAGAAATTTGCAGACACAGGGCTCAACCCCAAGCACTGCAATAAGAATTGTGAGATGTTTCTACAGCTCAGATAGAAGTATCTCTAAAGGGCTGGGCTGGGGCTCAGTGGTTAAGAGCACTGGCTGCTCTCCCAGAGCACTCAGGTTCAATTCCCAGCACCCACATGGTGATCTCCAACCAGCTGTCATTCCAGTTCTAGGAGCTTGATGCCCTCTTCTGGTCCCCAAGGGTACCAGGGCACAGACATACATGCAGGCAAACACATAGGCCTATTTTTGTAATTATTTGTAAAATTACAAAATAAAAATTTAAAGTTATCTATGTAAGAATGATCCCATGCTGTTTCAAGGATACCATCTTGTATACCAACTCATGATAGTCACTGAGATCAAGTAAGAGACGCTAAACATGGGGCTGGAGAGATGGCTCAGAGGTTAAGAGCATTGCCTCCTCTTCCAAAGGTCCTGAGTTCAATTCCCAGCAACCACATGGTGGCTCACAACCATCTGTAATGGGGTCTGGTGCCCTCTTCTGGCCTGCAGGCATACACACAGACAGAATATTGTATACATAATAAATAAATAAATAAATATTTAAAAAAAGAGACGCTAAACATTACTATAGAATGTAGACATCCATGCTTTTGAAATTAGCTAAGTAAATCCTTCAATTCCTGCTAACTCCTTTGACCTATATGTTAAGGATATATAAAAATTTTAATGTGTAATAACATCACTGTAATTTTCCGTCTTTTTTTGGTTTTTGTTTTTGAGACAAGTTTTCTTTGTGAGCCCTGGCTCTTCTGGAATTCATGATATGTATCAGGCTGGCCTTGAACTCAGAAATCCCCCTGCCTCAGCCTTCTGAGTGCTGAGATTAAAGGTGTGTGCCATCACTGCCCAGCTTCATCACTATATGTTTTTCTTCCTTCCTCCTTCCCTTCCTTTCTTCTTTTCTCTCACTCTTTTTTTTTTTTCCAAGACAGGGTTTCTCTGTAGCCCTAGTTGTCCTGGGACTCTTTCTGTAGACCAGTCTGGCCTCGAACTCACAGAGCTCCCCCTGCCTCTGTCTCCCAAGTGCTGGGATCACAGACATGCACCCCGCCACCTGGCTCAGTGACTGTAATTTTCGAGCGTTAGACTGTTAATTCCGTCGATGTGCCTATTAGTTGTCCAGATACCTAGGGCTTGTCCTCTTTGGACTAGCTAAAAATTTAGGCAACCTGAATGTATTTAGGAGAAACACTCATTTTTTCCCTTCCTGTGTTCTTGTTTATTTAAAAACTTTAAAAAATTTACTTATTTTATTTTACATGTATGAATGGTTTGCCTGTATTCACACATGTGAACCGCATGTGTGTCTGGGGAGCACGGAGATCAGAACTGTACTTACAGATGTTGGTGACTGGACTTGGTTCCTCTCCATCAGTGGTTCTCAACCTGTGGGATGAGGCATCTTTGGGGGTTGCATATTAGATATTTACATTACTATTCATAATAGTAGCAAAATTACAGTTCTAAAATGTAATGAAATAACTTTATGGTTGGGGTCCCCCACAACATGAGGTGCTGTATTAAAGGGTCGCAACTTTTGGAAGGTTGAGAACCTCTGTTCTAATCTATTTGAATCCTCACATTTTGTTATTTATTTAGAATTTTCCTGATAAGACAGCTCCTTTATGTTACTTTGTGTTTTTGAGATGTGGTCTCTCATTGAACGTGGAACTCACCAAGTTGCTGGTTGATCACTTTCAGGGACTTAGATATTGGCCCCTTTAGAGCTGATGTAAACTACACCTGGTTTTTGTGGATGCTGAAGACCAGAACTCAGCAGGCACTCACATGGCAAGCACTTTACCCACAATCCATCTCTCCATCCTAGTACGTTTCCGTGTGTGCAAATAGTATACACAGATGGTAGTCACGCTCCCTTCGTCCTCTCATGCTTCTCCACTTCCTGATAACTCCCTCCTCTCTGAGTATTGGAAAGGAACTTCCTGTTGGATAGGACACAGAGTAATTAAACACCTCTGTCCCCGTGTGTTGATTTTAATGAATGAGGCAGCCGTTACTTGTTCAAAGGTCAACTTGGTCAGTCTCAGGTCAAACACTGGAATTTTGAAGTTGATCTCCTGGACTCATCAATTTTTTTTTTGTTGTTGTTGTTATCTGGGATCAATGTAATCTTTAACCTTGCTCAGATGTGCGCTGCTCTTTTTCAGTACGGTGGGGAACTATATTTCAGTGACGTCTATGCTAACCTTGAAGTGCCGGAAGACATCAAGTCACACAAGGTTTTATGGGGTATGTGCTCTTGCGTCTTTCCCATCATTGATTATTGACTAGTGTAGAGTTCCATCCTTCAAGGAAGCTGCGGTGAGACCACAGGATGGGAGAGCAAATGGAGTGTGGCCAGAAGGGTCTATTCTTTTTCTGCTACCCAGAAACAGTATGAGGGCTGGTGAGACAGCTCAGTGGGTGAAGGAGCTTGTGGCTCAGGGCTGGCCATCTGAGTTTGATTCCTGGAACTCATGTAAAGGTGGAAGGAGAGGACATTCCACAGAGCTGTCCTCTGACATGTACATGTCCACTGTCGCACATATGCCCACGTGACCCCTCCTACCGTTGTAAACAAGCTTTTTTAAAAAAGTGATATAATCTCAAGCAATTTAATTAATCTATTATTGGTCTTCTAAACTATAAATTGAAAATAATAACAGACTACTTTACAAAACTATTTTGAAAAATAAATGAGATAGAGTGTTTATTCTTTTATAGTCACTTGAGAGTCGCTGGAAGTTGAGGAGACAAATGCATGCTCATGGTCAGTCGAACTGGAAAATAGCAGTGTTTGCATTTAAACAGGAAGTGGTGGCCATGCCCATGGTCTTAGTTCTTTGGAGATGAAGCAAGAGGATCGGTGCTCATCAAGGCTGGCACAGGCCACATGAGACATAGTCTCAAAAAAAAAAAAATCTTACTTTTAAAATAGATTATCAGGGCCGGTCTATGAGATGACTCAGTAGGTAAATCACTTTCCTTACATGCCCGATGAGCTGAATTCAATCCTCAGAGCACGGAGAGAATAGACCTCTGTGCTCCATATATGCTCTGTGGTGTTTGTGCCTCATCCAAGAATGTGTATGTATGCACACACACGTATATATATATATACATATACATATATATGTGCACACACACACACACACGCACACACACACACACACACACACATGCAGAGAAGAGATGGCTCATGGGTACAGCCACTTGCTGCCAAGCCTGACAAATCCCCGAGGTAGAAGGAGGGAAGCAGCTCCTGAGAGCTGTCATCTGGCCCATATGTGCACTGCAGCATGTGCTGTCTCTCATATCGTAGCAGACAAACATATAAAATATATATGTACATAAATAAGCCAAGTATTGTTGCACATCTTTAATTCTATCACTTGGGAGGCAGAGGCAGGCAGATCTCTATAAGTTCAAGGCCTGGCCTACATAGAAAGTTCCAGACCAGTGAGACCTACATAGTGAGAGCCTATCTTCAAAAAAGTAAGACAATAAATAAGAAAAATAATTAAAATGTAGGTTTGTGCACCCAATGTGTAGCTGGTACCTGTGGAAGACATATGAGGGTGTCCAATCTTCTAGAACTGGACTTACAGACAATTGTGAACTACTATGTGGGTGCTGGGACTCAAACCTGGGTCCTCTAGAAGAGCAGCCAGTGCTCTTGGTCTCAGATCCATCTCCCCAGGTCTAGTCTAAACATGTATAAACAGTCCTATACAACTGTGTTGCTCTGCTTGGCATGTTTGTTTGCTGGTAACCATTAGTTTGTCTCCAACTTATTGATGTGACACATAAAACGTGTATTTTGCGCTTAAAATAATCTGTAAAAATGCTTTGTGAACATTAGTGGTGGTTATTGTTCTGGTAATAGACTGTGGGATTCAACTAGAGCTAGGAGGCGGGTTTTCAGAGCGTGACTGAGCACACACAGGATTGTGACTGTGTCTTAGTAGAACCAACACGTCATCACTGCCCTGAAAACGATTCTCAGAGACCTCTAGCTAACAAATTCTGGATTTAATCACTACTCTCTAGGCCTCGTGGATACTTCTAGGCCCCGTGTTTTTGTTTTAAATTTATAATAATAATACTTTTCTTTTAGTTTTTGATTTTTTTAAGAGAGACAAGGTTTCTCTGTGTAGTCTTGGCTGGCCTGGAATTTGCTTTGTAGACCAGACAGGTCTCGAACTCACAGAGATTTTCCTGGCTCTGACTCCCGAGAGCTGGGATTACAGGCGTTTGCCACCCCATTTGCTTTTACACAGTGCTGGGGATCAAATCTAGGACTTTGAACCTGCTAGGTAAGCGACTAAGCCACATCCTTAGCTCTTGTGGTTTTGTCTTTTTGAGAAAGGGTCTCATGCTCACCCGGGATGCCCTTGGACTCCTCATTGTCTTGCCTCTAACTTCCACCTGCTGGGATTACAGGTGGGCACCTCCCTGGGCAGTTAGGTCCCACATCTATACTATGTCCTAGCTAATGGTGCAGGCTATAAATTTCCATAATGCTGCTGTATTCATTGCTCTGTAATTTTTCTTTTAAGGCGAATGCCTGGGAGGCGCTTTGTACTGGAAGGATCTTGCCATCATTGCCCAAAAAATTGGATTCTGCCCTCCACGTTTGGTCACTGCCAACCTCATCACAATTCAAAACAAGGAGCTAGAAAGTGTTCTTGGTAAGAAACAACGGCAGAGATTCTGATGCGGTGGGAACAGTTTCAGTTCAGTGGTTAGTTAATTTAATGAGTGATTCTTTTTTAAAAAAATGAGCATTAGTGTTTTGCCTGCATGCATGTCTGTGTGAGGGTGTCAGGTCCCCTGGAACTGGAGTTGCAGACAGTTGTGAGCTGCCATGTGGGTGCTGGGAATTGAACCCAGGTCCTCTGTCAGAGCAGTCGGAGCTCTAACTGCTCTCTAGCTCCCTTTAGTGAGTGATTCCTACCAAGGGGAACTGTATCACCTGGAAGCGTCCATCGTGTCTCCTGAATGATCTCAGCCCCTCCCTCAGAGTGATATTTAATGAAGTGTTTGGAAAGACTGAGGCACCCAGGAGACAGCTGATGGTGTACCGTGAGGAAATCCCTTGTGCGGCATCCTCCTGTGTTGAATGCGGCTGGGGTGCAGGAGGTGAGCCCTGTGTGTCTGCTTTCAGGGGACTGTCGCTTTGTGTCTGCCACATTTCGACTCTTCAAACTCCCTAAGACAGGACAAGCCAAAAGATGCCAAGCTGTTTACAAAGGAGGGATCACAGGGCATGAAAAAGAACTAATCTTTGATGCAAATTTCACATTCAAGGTAAACAACAACAACAACTGCTCAAGGGGGGGTAGCAGTGTGGCTCAGTGGTAGCGCACTCACCAGCCAGCGGCGCATCTTCAGCAAGTGGGCTGGGCAAGGCTGGTATCCATTGTGTCTGCAGCATTCTTTCTGCTTTTGCCCTTGTACCGCTCCCTGCCCCCCACCCCTGCCCCCCACTACAGTACCTTTCTTGGATCTTGAGTTTAACCCTAAATTGCTTTTCACTATTCTGATGTTGATTGGTTTGTGTGTAATTTTGTTTTTTCCTCAATTGAAGTTTTCATTTTACTTCCAGTAGAATAGTAAACTTTTTTAACTTCTTTTTTTTCTTTTTTTATTGATTTTTATTGAGCTCTACATTTTTCTCTGCCCCTTTCCTGCCTCTCCCCTCCCCCAAGGTCCCCATGCTCCCAATTTACTCAGGAGATCTTGTCTTTTTCTACTTCCCATGTAGATTAGATCTATGTAAGTCTCTCTTAGTGTCTGAATTGTTGTCTAAGTTCTCTGGAATTGTGGTTTGTAGGCTGGCTTTCTTTGCTTTATGTTTAAAACCCACTTACGAGTGAGTACATATGATAATTGTCTTTCTGTGTCTGGGTTACCTCACTCAAAATGTTGTTTTCCTGCAAAATTCAAGATGTCGTTATTTTTTTTCTGCTGTGTAGTACTCCATTGTGTAAATGTACCACATTTTTCTTATCCATTCTTTGGTCGAGGGGCATTTAGGCTGTTTCCAGGTTCTGGCTATGACAAACAGTTTAGTTTAGATTTGGTATGGAAGGACTGTCAGGAGAAAAGAAAGACTCCCAACAAATGATCACACCAAACCACTACTGGAAGTCAAACGCCTTCCAGATCTACAAACAGAAAGGCCAGAAACCTAAAAACTTTCAGAACCAGCAGACAAAACTAGATAGTCAACGGATAGGATCCCTACAGCAAGGGCAGAAGAAACAAATGGCTGCTATCCAAAGCAAGGGAGAGCCTAGCCTAGGACCCATCAGTAGCCCCGGGGGAGGCAATACAGGCTATTTAGACACATGGTCCTCATTGTGCAGTTTCTGTTTTGTTAAAGCACATTCCCAGGCTGAGAACGCAGCTCGGTTGGTCGGGCGCTTGCCTGGCATGCGTGAAGCTGGCATTTAATCCACACTGCATGGAAGCAGCTGCAGTGGTACATCCTGTCTGTCATCCCGGCACGAGGAAGGCAGAGGCAGGAGGATTAGAAGTTCATGTGTTAATTCCACCAATCGAGAATATGACCGCGGCCACAGTTTAAAGCTAAATTTGAAGCAAGCTTTAATTAAGTACTGGCCAGGTAGGTGGGCTCTGGTCAGGTCCATACTCAGGTTCCTGGAAAATGGCCGAGAATCAAGTATGGCCTGGGCTTTAAGGAAAGCCCGTAGTTGGTTGCATTTCCCTGCAGGTCCAATCAGGATGTAGTGGCATTTCAATTGTATTTAATAAAATTTTAATTGTATTTAAAGTTTTAATTGTATAATAAATTTTTATTTATTTAAATAATATTTAATTGTATAATAAATATTTATAAATTATATAATAAAATTTTAATTGTATAATAAAGTTTTAATTGTATTTAATAAAAATTAAATTTTCCTGAGGATCAGAAGAGTAAAACAGCCACACTGACCAGGCTTATAGACCAGGCAGCAATGACACACCTTTCATCCCAGTAGCCACACTAGCTTGCCATAGAAACCAGGAGGTAGTGATGCATGCCCTTAATCCCAGAACTGGAGAGGATTATAAAAGAGGAGGAGACAGCTCTCAAATACAGTATCATTAGAAGATTCCCAGAGGCAGGATCACTATTTTGGACTGAGGTGGAGGTGAGAGCCAGTGGCTGGCTGCTTTGCTTTTCGGATCTTCAGGTTGAACCCCAATTTCTCTCTCTGAGTATTTTTTTTTTTTAATTGTGCTTCATCAGGGGTAAGCATATATCCTGACATACCTCCAGCCCACACGTGATCAAGCACATCCGGCACAGATGGGGCAAACAAGCTCGTTTAGGGGAGTGAAAACATGGGATTTATTGTAGCCTCCAGCATCTCAGGAACTGTCTGTCCTGGGGCAAGGGGCTGGCAGGTCAGAGGCATTTTTGTTTCGTGGATTTCTACGGCACAGTGATTAAAACTTAAAATGTAATGTTGGCTCTCACACAAGGTCATTTTGGGGTACATAGCAATTTTGCAGCCAGCCTAAATGGCATTAGACACAGTTCAAAAGAAAGGAAGAAAGGAAAGAAGGGAGGAAGGGAGGAAGGGAGGGAGGGAGGGAGGGAGGGAAGGAGGAAGGAAGGAAAAAAATCTTTCTGAAAATGCTCTATTGGGAATGGTGGAACCCATTTGCAATCTGAGCATCTGTGAGGAGGCTTAGAAGAATTGCAGGTTCAAGGCCAGCTTGGGATATAAGTGAGTTCCAGATCAGTTTGGGATATACCATTGGATTTTGTCTTTAAATTTTAGAAGGGAGTCAAAGAGATGGTTCAGTGCTTGCTGTACAACCACGAGGACTGGAGTTCAGATCCCAGCTCCACAAGCCAAGCCAGGTGTCCTGATACATAGATCATACCAGCATCAAGACCCAGTCAGGAGAGCTGCTGGAGCTTGCTCACTGCCAGCCGGCTGGGAACACCACGTTCTGAGGAGATTGCCCAAAGGAATAGACAGATAGTAATAGGAGACTCACCTAATGCTTTCTTCTGGCCTCTGCCCGTGCATAGGCAACATGCCCTCAAACACACTCATACAGAAATGCTTTTTTAAAAATTTAAAAACTAAGAAAAGAAAAAGAAAATATTTACTGAGTACCATGCATTGCTTTAGGGCAGCGGCTCTCAGCCTTCCCAGCGCTGCGACCCTTTAATCCACTGCCTCATGCCGGGGGCCCCAGTCATCAAATTGCTTCTTTGCTACTTCAGAACTGTAATTTTGCTACTGTTAGGAATCGTAATGTAAATATCTGTGTTTCTGATGGTCTTAGGCGACCCCCATGAAAGGATCATTTGACCGCAAAGGGTCATGACCCACATGTTGAGAAGCATCTTGGGACTCAGAGAAACACACTTCAGAAACAAGTGCTCCAGCGGAGCTCCCATTTAGCTGGTCAGGCAAAGTTGAGGGCGAGCCGGTTTCTCCAGCTAGCTCTGAAAACGCATTAAACACCGGGGCAGGGGTGCCCTTTATAGCACTGTTACCTAAGAAACATTGGTCAGCTGATTGTCTGCAAATACTCATGACATCAACAGAGGGGTCTGACGATGACGAGAGAAGAGCGCCTTAGAAGGCCGGTGTGGTCCCTTCCCCGAAATGTCACACAGTCATAAGCTGGCCTGGCGAGATGGCTCAGCAGGAAAGGGGGCTTGCCTGGGACAGCCTGGCAACCTGAGTTTGGTTCCTGGAACCAAAAGGACCGCAGTGACGTCTTTTGCTGTTCATTTTGTGCTGCCCTGTAGGAAGGCGAGGCTGTCAAAGTGGATGGAGACACAGCAGCTGTCTTGAAGAACTCGCGTTTCGCTCAGGATTTTCTCTTCACACCTGTTGCAGCCGAGCTGCAGGCTGCCTGGAGCTGTTCTGGATTAGAAACAAAGGTTTGTTTCACTTTCAGTCCCACACTTCAAACAGGTCCCTTAAAACGCGACAAACTGCAGGCTCGGCTAAAACAACAGTTTTCTTTGCAGCGGGCTACCTCAGCTAAGATAGCTAAATGATTTGATTTGATTTGACAAATTCTTTTTATTTAAAGATTTATTTTTATTTTATGTGTTTGGGTGTTTTGCCTGCATGTTATGTCTTTGTACTGTAAATCCCTTGGAGCTGAAATTACCGACGGTTGGTAGCTGCCGTGTGGTTGCTGGGAATCAAAGCTGGGTCCTCTAGAAGACCTTAACCACGGAGCCATCTCTCCAGCCCCTAAATCCTTTCCCCTCAATTCTTCACAAGTCTATAGTAATCTTTGTGTCTGCAATCCCCTGTAATTGTGTTTGAATATATACTTTCTTGGGAAGCCGCCGCTTTGATCAAGTTCTCAGAGGAGTCCAGACACCGAAAAGGTTAAGAGTTACACAAAAACATGCTACATTCTGGACTCAGTACCACATACCCATATAGAATTCTGGTGACTAAGAATGAAGGGGAGCATTACTTAAATCCAGGAGTTCAAGACCAACATGAGCAACAAAGGAAGACCTTGTCTCAAAAACAAGCAAAACAAATCCAAACCCCAGGTGAACATTATAAATGGCCTATATTTCCTTCTGGTAATCACCAATTCTAAGATAAAATTAAGTAATTCTTACCAATTTAACCACTTAAAAACTTAGCACAGGTTTAAAAAAATTATTTTTATTTTGTTTCTATGGGTATTTTGTCTACATGTATGCCTGTGCACCACGTTTGTGCGTAGTGCCTACAGAGGCCAGAAGAGAGTGTCCAGATCCCCTGGGACTGGAGCTGTAGACAGTAGTGAGCTGCCATGTGGGTGCTGGGACTTGAGTCTGTGTCCTCTAGAAGAGCAGCCAAGGCTGAGTCATCTCTCCAGGACTAAAAACGTTTTTGTTTTTGTTTCAATATTTTTAATTAATGTCTTTATCTGTTATTAGTGCATGTGCACGCGCATCACTGCATGTGCCAAGGCCAGAGGATGGCTTGTGTGAGTAGCTGCTCTCTTTCCATCGTACGGGGTTTAGGGATTAACTCAGGTCGTTAGCTTTGACAGCAAGCTGCTTTCTGCTGAGCGTTTTGTCAGCTCCCCCATCTTATGATTCAGTGGCGTTTAGTTCACAGACATCAACACTCTCTACTTCCAAAACTTTCGCCAAAACAAAAACAAAACAAAACAAAGCCAGGGCAGCACTTGGGAGGCGGAAGCAGGCGGATCTCTGTGAGTTCGAGGCCAGCCTGGTCTATAGAGCTGGTTCCAGGACAGTCAGGACTGTTATACAGAGAAACACTGCCTTGAAAAACAAAAACCAAAAAACCAAAATGTTGACCACCCCATGCCCAGTGAGCAGCTGTCTCCTTGCACCGGTTCTCAGCAGTGGCTGGTGGGCTTCCACTCCGTGCTTCTGCCTCCTTTGGGCATTTGATACGGGCAAACTCATACACACAAGCCTTTTGGAGCTGACTTTTTCACCTATGTTTCCAAAGCTAGTTCTTCAATTGGGGTGGGCATCACTCCTTCCCTCGTCTTGGCATAGGCTAGAACACATTGTTTAGCGTCCTCTTGATGTGCTGTCCCCTTCTTGGAGACTGTCAATAGCGCTATTAGCTATTGACAAATTTGAAAAACAGCAAAGTTGTTTGAGTTTCTGCTTTCAAAGATTTTGCATCTGTACCTAAGAATGGAATTGTTTTGTCTACATTCCTAACTTTTGGTGGCTTTTGATGTTTGTTTGTTTGTGGTTTTTGAGACAGGGTCTCACCATGTAGCCCTGACCAGCCTAGAACTCAGGGTGTAGACCAGTTCATCTTGAGCTCACAGAGATCCACTTGTCCCTGCCTCTGGGGCACTGAGATGAAAAGGAGTGTGCTACCATGATTGGGCATATTCCTAGCTTGTCAACAGCCAGCGAGCTGTTTTTCAGAGCAGCTGGATGGACCGCTTTGCATCCCTAGCCCTGTCTCCGGAGCAGTCCTGTTGCCAGTGACCGCACCCTGCAAGAGCAGGAACAGAACTGAATCTCCAGGTTGTGCTTATGCAGAAGGCAGGTGATCTGGGACGGCTGTGGCCTGATACCTTAAAAACTGCTTCCCCTTATCTGCAGCCAGCAGCTTTAGCAGCGCAGGGAGAGCAAAGGCCATCATTTCTCCAGCATTCTTGTTCCTCTTGTCAGGTGGCCAGCCAGCCTTGTCCCTGAGCTCTATGATGTCAGTGCCTCTGTCCTTATCATCTCTTACCCTCTTCCCTTGTTCTCTGAACATCTGGACCAACTCTAGTCAGTTTCTTCCTTTATTGTCCTTGTCTCCTCCAGGGCCATCTGGCCTAGGGAGGTAACTCGGAACAAAGAGGTCAACTAGCAAGAGCGTGGCCACACCGACCGACTCCTTTCTGTCGTCCGAGGTACAAATGTGTCTTTAGAATGTTGACTATAAGGGTGTCCTCACCCGTCTCTCCAGTCACCCCTGTAAGTCTGCACTGAGGAACAGATTCTTGCTGCTGTGCTCCTCAGTATGGGAGTCTTCCAGAATAAAGAGGTGCACACCCTCTGAAACAGCAGGAGTTGTGCTAAGAAAGATTTTTAATAAAGGAAAGCTAGGAAGGCCTCCCAGATACTGGAAGGTTTAGGAGCCAAAGGCAAGAAAAGACAGATGGGAAGTAAAAAAAAATCGGCCTTCCCTTCCATGATTTTATGGACCATCTTAACCTGTATTAAGGTCTATTTTATTCATTTGGCTTTTTAAATCTTATTTATTCATTTTTGGTTTTTGAGACAGGATTTCTCTGTGTAACACAGTCCTGGCTATCCTGAAATTCACCCTGTAGACCAGGCTGGTCTCAAACTCACTGAGACCCGCCTGCCTCTGCCTCCCGAGCGCTGGGACTAAAGGCATGAGCCACCACCGCCTGGCCTATTCAGTTCTTTTCTAATGTTAGATTTTCTAAAATTTTAGTTTATGCACATGGATGTTTTGCCTTATGGATGTATGTGCTCCACATATGTGCCTGGTGCCCGCAGAGATCAGAAGAGGGCACCTGGCCCCCAGGAACTAGAGTTAAGATGGTTGTGGGGCACCCTGTGGGAGCTGGGAACCGAGCCTGGGCGAGCAGGTTGTATGGCTTTGGTCTGAGTTTCTCCCTAGTTTAATACTGTTGAACCTTTCTCCACGCTTAGTGGCTGATTGCTTATCTTCTTTGAAGAAATGACTCATCACATCTTGGCCCACTTTTAAATTGGGTTGGTTGTTGTTTGCTATTGAGTTTTTTTTTTTATTATTTTTTTTTACATGCCAATCCCAGTTCCTCCTCCCTCCTCTCTTCCTGCTTCCCTCACCTACCCCTCACTCTGCTCCTCAAAGAGGGTAAGGCCTCTCCTAGGAAGTCAATTAAGTCTGTCCCATCACCTTGTTGAGGCAAGACCAAGCCCTCTCTCCTACCCCCCCCCCCCCCAGGCCTAGGCTGAGTAAGTAAGGTCTCTCTCCATAGAGAATGGGCTTCACAACGTCAGTTCATACATCAGGGTTAGATCCTGGTCCCACTGTCAGTGGCTCCACATTCTGCCCAAGCCACACCACTGTCACCTGCATTCAGGGGGCCTAGTTCGGGCCTGTGCAGGTTCCCCAGCTGTCAGTCCAGAGTCACTGAGCTCCCACTAGCTTACTCCTCCCTCTCTTCGGTTTAAGAGTTTTAAAAAATATATGTTTCTATTCTGTCTGTTTTGTTTTGTGGTGCTGGGGTTAAGCCCAGGGCCTTAGACACTGCAGGCAATCTCTGACCACTCACCTATACCCCAGACTTGTACATCTTTGTTCTCAATACCAGGCCTTCTCAGATATAGATTTTGTTACTGTCTTGATAGTATTCCTGGCTGTACAAAAGGTCTTAATTTAAGTTTGGGCACATTTAAGGACCTATTGTCGAATCTGTTATGAAGATTCTCTTACTCTTTTATGCTTTGCTTTCATATTGTAGGATTTAGTTTAGTATAAATATTGCGCTATGGTGATGGTATATGTGGCCTGTTGCTTGCATGGGCCCCTTTCCATGTGACGTTCATGTGTTTGATCTTATGATGACTCCGTCAGGGTTGCAAACAAGGATACAAGGTGCCTTTAGGAGGCCCTTGGGCACAGTGGGTCAGAGTTCACTATGGCCAGGTCACCACATCCACTTGTGCCAGGCTTCAGGGAACATGTGGTAGAGGTTCTATGCAGGACTGAGTGTAAGTTCTCAGGCCAGGTCTTAAACAAATTCAACAGGCTGAGCATGAAACATCTTCTGAAGACTGGCTCATCGCCAATGGCGGTGGGGTCGCTCGTGATTTCCTAGACAGGTGACAGGGCATTCATTTAGACAGGCTCTCACGGGCTGTCCCTCCTTGGTCACGTTCACCAGTAAGTCCTGCATTCTAGCCAAAAGTAAAAAGATTTATTATCTATTTTATGTGTATGAGCACTTTGCCTGCATGTATGCATGTATGTCTGTGCATGTCTATGTCTGGTGCTTGTGGAGGTTAGACTCCCTTGGAGCTGGAGTTACAATGGCTGTGACCCACCATGTAGGTGTTGGGAACTGAGTCTACCTAAAGCGAAAATTTAAGGTAGAAGTGTGACCCTTCTTTTTGTTTTCTTTTGAGACAGTTTTCTGTTGCCCAGATTGGCATGAACTCCTTTTCATCCTGTCTCTGCCTCCCAAATTCGAGATTGCAGAAATGGAGCATCATGCTAGGTTCAACGTGACTATTTGTGGTTGGGGAAGGAGTGAGTCCCAGGGGTAAGAGGAAAAAAGCCCAGAAAACAGCCATAAGGACTGGTCTGTGTCTGTGTGTGCACACATGGACTGGTCTGTGTTTGTGTGTGCACATGTGAGCTGGTCCGTATCCGTGTGTGCACATGTGAGCTGGTCCGTGTCTGTGTATGCACATGTGAGCTG